AGATATAATTACTTTTTCACGTTCTCCACAGTAAAGTGACCTTTTGTGTTTTTGGATGCGCCGCACGGCATGTGGGGTCTTAATTCCCCAACCAGGGATCGAATCTGCGCCCCCTGCCTTGGAAGTGCAGAGACCTAAACCACTGGACCGCCGGGGAGTCCCTAAAGTGACCTTTTAGCTCTTTACAGTAAAGCCAGTGCTTTGGACTTGTGGATTTGCTGGCATTAACATGTAGAGGAAGTGTAAAACACGACGGTCATTCTGTACAGGGCAGCAAGAGCATCAGGTCTCGTCCCCTTTCCCGTGGGCTGATTCCACGTTCTGGAACCAAGCGGGGCTGGTACTTGCCGTGTGCTGCAATGGGGAGGGGACAGGAAGGGGGCCGAGCTGCCTATGCTGGTTGCATGAACTTCCCGGGCCCCAGCCTGTTGTCACCACATGGCCTAGAGCTGCCCCGCCTCGGTGGATTGACATAAGGGTGTTCCCTGCGCACAGGGGACCAGTGATGCTATCCCGGAGAAATTTCTAAAATGAAAGTAAAGACGCTGAAGACTTAGAGAAACAGATAAGGTTCTGCTGACCGGCCGATGCAGGAAGGAAGGTCTCCTTGCGTCTGGGGTTTTAACATCAGCACGTTTTCTTTTAATAAATAGCTGGCGAAGAAGAAAGGAAGCGAAGTCAATAAAGTTTGGCCTCCATCACCGCTCCCCGCCCCTCCTCCCAGTCTGCTTTGCTGCTCTTCGTTTCCCTTGGGTCGGGGTGCTCTCCGTGAGAGGGAAAGGATTGTTCAGTGCTCATGGGAGCTGAGACGCCTGTTTCTCCCCTTGCTCCCACCCGCAATCCAGGGCATTCTCGCTAAAACATTTAAATTATGTCCTGTGGATTAAATTGCGTTGTCAAATGGCGCGTCCGTTTGGAAGTTTTGGGGTCAGTGATTTAAGTTCCAAGATGATAGCTACAGACCTGGAAATCAAGTTTACATTGTGTCTTCCCTCCTTTTACTGAAATCAGGCCGTTCTGGCTCAGCAGTTAGGTCCTCCTTTGTTGTTCAGATGTGGCGGGGAAGGAAGGAGAACTTTTCCTGTGATGTTGAAGGTGAGGGGTGGGGGTGGGGGGTTCTGAACAGCAGGAACGCCCCCACTTGGGGCAGGAGCTCCTTTCTGCCCCAGGTGTGTAAGGAGAAGAGCAACCAGTAAATTCCCAGCCGCACCCAGACACACGCAGGATCCTCAGGATGGCCAAACGATAAACATCTCCATCGTGACTCGATTAACAGCCATGTGCCAAAAATCCAGAGATGCTACAACCCTGTGGCTGACGGGCTGGAATAATACTTGATCGCGAGCTGAGGGCTGTCTCGGGGGAAGGCTGGTCCCCGTCAGACGCCTGAGCATTCTCCGCTGAGCCCATTCTGGGGGAGAATGTGACCCCGATGGCTGAGGATCAGGGAGGCGGACCAGTGTGGATAACCGAAGCTCGTAGCTTGAGGCTGACGCAGGACAGCCACTCCATTAAGGAAGGAAGTGGAGGAAAAGATGGGGTTTTGGCAGCAACTAACTGTGCAGAATCCCTTGAGTTTGAGATGCCTGTGGGTCACTCATGCAGTTCCCTCTCGAAGGTATGAAATAATTACCCAGGTTATCGAGGCATAGATTTGGCATCGTGAATTGAAACCATGGGGAATAGAAGGGCTTGCTTAGGGAGAAGTAGAAAGCAAAGAGAGAAGATAACCAGGGCTGGATTCCCAACACAGAGACATCTTAGGAGTGGCCTGAAGAGCAGCAGAGCTTGGCAAAGAGGACTGAAGATCTGACCAAGATAGAAACCAGGGGCTGGAGACAGAGGCTTCCAGAAGCCGGAGAACAGAGTGCCAGGACTTTGGGCGCAGCTACGCAAGAGAGAGTGACCAGGAGCAGAAGTGACAATACGTGCTTGCTTCCGGTGGATTAGGTTAAGGCTAAACTTGCACAGAACCAATTCAGGGAGTGGTGAGGGGAGAATCCATATTTTAATTAGAGGAGACATGAATAGTAATTAAAGCCATCAGCCAACTTGTTTGTTTTGGCAGCTAAGAGGAAGCAGAAGGATTAAGGGATTCTGCGTTGAGGTGGAAGAGAATGCAATAGGTAAAGAAAGCCAGCCCTAGGGGAGACGTAGAAGACCCTGGCAGGGGCTGGGAGCATCATGGGTACCCTCAATTCCTTTTATTTTATTATTTTTTTAAAAAAATTATTTTTATTTATGGCTGTGTTGGGTCTTCGTTGCTGCACGCGGGCTTTCTCTAGTTGCGGCGAGCGGGGGCTACTCTTCGTTGCCGTGTGCGGGCTTCTCATTGCCGTGGCTTCTCTTGTTGCGGAGCACGGGCTGTAGGCACATGGGCTTCAGTAGTTGTGGCACGTGGGCTCAATAGTTGTGGCTCGCGGGGTCTAGAGCGCAGGCTCAGTAGTGTGGCGCACGGACTTAGTTGCTCCGCGGCATGTGGGATCTTCCTGGACCAGGGCTCGAACCCGTGTCCCCTGCATCGGCAGGCGGATTCTTAACCACTGCACCACCAGGGAAGTCTGTTCCTTTTATTTTAGAGAAACTTTAATTCCCTAATGGGTCTGGGTGCCCGTCTCCCCTGTGATGTAATTCACAGCGTACGCTCAGTTAGAACCAGTGGAATATATGGTGTTGTCACTGTCTGGTTGGGGGTGGAGCTGGGAGCTAGGGGAGGAGCCAGCCCCCCTGTTCCGATGGGCCCTGACTATTCTACCCCCGGGCTGCTGCTTTAAGTGCCTTCCTCCCTGCCTTCCTCTCCCCATCCTGAGAGCCCTGCTGCATCAGAGGTTGAGCTGGCAGTTCCGGGAAGCTCCAGATGCCGAGAGGGGGTCGCTGCTCCCGGTGCTGGAGGCGTAGGGCGGTGGCGTCTCTGGGTGTAGATCATCACCCTCCGCACTCGGGCTGCAGGTGTTTTATTCCGCTCCGAGTACCTTTCACTTCCGTGCCCAGATTTTTACCTTTTTTCAGTCTGATTCTTCCTTTGCCTTTGAGTTGGCTCTGGCTCTCCTGAACAGTTGGTTTGAAGATACTAGCCAGGTTTGTCGTTGAAAATCATGTTGTTTTTTTTGTTTGTTTGCGGTACGCGGGCCTCTCACTGTTGCGGCCTCTCCCATTGCGGAGCACAGGCTCCGGACGCGCAGGCTCAGCGGCCATAGCTCACGGGTCCAGCCACTCCGCGGCATGTGGGATCTTCCCGGACCGGGGCACGTACCCGTGTGCCCTGCATCGGCAGGCGGACTCTCAACCACTGCGCCACTAGGGAAGCCCGAAAATCATGTTTTAATTTTCTCTGGGAAATTCAGCGGGTAAACTGGCAGATGTGCACGGCTATTGCGGTTAGAGGTTGTATGGGCTGGGCTCCTGGGCTCAGGTACAAGCTCCCGCCTCGTGACCACTGACATTAGACACGTTGCTTCCTTTCTTTGTGCCTCAGTATTTAGCTGTTTAATGGGGGTGATGGTGGTACCTGGTCACAGTGCTGCCACGAGGATTCAGTGATGTAATGCACTCAGCACTGTAACCAGTACTCAGTAATCACCAGCTACCATTATTATTATTATTTTTCTCACTGCCGTTCAAGCCCCTGGATTATCAACATCAGATACAGCCTGGAGCCAGAGAGATACAAATATATACCCAAATGCTCTGTTAAAAGTGCCCCTATCCACATACCCTGAGAAAACCATAATTCAAAACGATACATGTACCACAATGTTCATTGCAGCACTATTTACAATAGCCAGGACATGGAAGCAACATAAATGCCCATCAACAGATGAATGGATAAAGAAAGCGTGGCACATATATACAACGGAATATTACTCAGCCATAAAAAGGAACGAAATTGAGTTACTTGTAGTGAGGGGGATGGACCTAGAGTCTGTCATACAGAGTGAAGTAAGTCAGAAAGAGAAAAATAACGTATCCTAACGCACATTTTTGGAATCTAAAAAAACGGTACTGATGAACCTAGTGGCAGGAATAAAGACACAGACGTAGAGAATGGACTCGGGGACACAAGGGGGTGAAGGGGAAGTTGGGATGAAGTGAGAGAGTGGCACGGACATATATACACTACCAAATGTAAAACAGATAGCTAGTGGGAAGCAGCTGCATAGCACAGGGAGATCAGCTCAGCGCTTTGTGACCGCCTGGAGGGGTGGGATAGGGAGGGAGGGAGGGAGACCCAAGAGGGAGGGGTTATGGGGATACATGTATACATATGGCTGATTCACCTTGTTGTACAGTAACAAATAGAAACTAACACAACACTGTAAAGCAGTTATACTCCAGTAAAGGTAAAAAAAAACAACAAAAAAAGTGCCCACACCTTTGTCATCCACCACCCAGGGTATCTAGGGGACCCCTGACCTGTCTCTGAACCTGGGACTCCCATCTTGCCCTCTTCTGAGTCATTCTCCCCATACCTACCTCCGTGCATGGGTCTCCTGCACTTCCTCAATTACATTTTTCTCTTCCCAAGGGCTTTTCACACAGCCCTTTGTCTGTATCAGACTAAGGGCTCTTGAGAGCCGAAACCTTGATGTTGAGGCTAAGTCTTGCTTCTTACAAGTGTCTGTTAGTCACAATCTGTAAGGAAGAATCAGTGTCATGAGCTTGTTACTGCAAGTCATCTCCACGCTCTTCTAATGCTGAGAAAATCACCCAAGTGGGGATGGGAAAAGGAATGTAAAATGAGACCAAATTAAAATGAACAGAAAATGGCTCTTCCGTATCTCTTTCAAAGCACAGGTGGAATTCTTTGTCTGCAGAATGACTGGGGTAATTTCAGAGTCTCCTTCTGGCACTAACGTTCTGTGACACACACAGAAGGGAGAGGTACAAATAGGTGATTGGAAAGGAAGACATAAATGTTGATACTTTGTCATCTGGGGCTGGCACACTTTCCGGTCATGTTTTCACTGCTAACACTGTGGTTTCCAATGCTTTGCTCGCAGGGAAGGCCGCTCGAATGCTCACATCAGAGGAGATTACCAAAGAATTGGAGATGTGTTGCTGAAGAACATTCAGGGCATGAAGGTGAGCTGCTCGGGGATTTGGGAGAGAGAGTTCCCCAGGGAGAGTAACGCTGAGGCTGCCAGAGGCCTTGTTTGTGATCCTGGCCCGTGAGCAGGTGGCCTGATTCGAGTCTGCATGGAGCACAGCCCCGGGGGAAACTCTTCCGTCTCCTCTAGGTAGTTTTATTTGGAAGCATGAAGAAAGATCCAGCCACTTTGGGGGAAGCACTTTCAGTTCTTTTCCTCTTCCAGAGCTCTGTGTCGTAACCAAAACACCAGGTATTTTCTGTGACTAAGTCATTCGAAACTTGTTTTTAAAAATTATGTAGACAAAGCATTGGTTGACTGAGCATTTCACTTTTAGTCAGTTGTTTTGACTTCTTGCGGTGTGACAAAGATATTGGATTCGGAGCTGTGTCGGAATTCCAGTCAATTCTGTGGCTTTCAGTTGGTTTATAAGGTGAATATATTTTTAACCATCCAGCAGTATCTACAATGATCCAAAAGAGCGAAAGTCTCCCCAGAGAAGTCAGTACACAGTGAACCAATATTCTGCCTCGTGTTTGAAATCTGCCCCACCTCTTACATCTGAAATTTTCATTTTTGCCTTTTCATTTTAATCCATGAATCATTCCTTTAATATGGAATGTTTTAATTCACATAATTTATCTTTTGAATACAAATACACCTATATTTGCATTTTAAAGCAATCTTTCTATATCTCAGCCACCCACAGAGCCTTCCTAATAACCTTAACTAATGACTAAGAGCAAGCTTGTAACCCCCCAAAGGGGGCGGGTTGCTTGTACTGCCACCGTGCAGCCCATCCAGCCATCCGTCTGTGTGTCCACCCACAGGCCATGCATACTAGCTGAGCACCTATAAGGTCTAAGGCACTCACAGAATAAAAGTTATTGTTGAGGTTTGAATTAACTCCTAAGAATCTAAGTTGTTCGTGTTCGACTTGTTCCTCTTAGAATCGTGTCTCCTGAGATAGGACAGTGGAGGCAGAGGAACGGGGGGCAAGGGGATGCAGAAAAGAGAGGATCTGAAACTACTCGAGGGATTTCCTCTTGCTCTTAACAAGTTCAAGATATTATTTAACAGACCTGGAGCCTATTGCTCGCGTTTTCCTGGTGTTCAAAAAGCAACACTCCCCGCTTTGGGCTGTATCAGAGAGAGGCCACGGAAGCCAGCAGGACTGCAGAATGCTATACGAAGAAAAGCGAAGAGTCATCTGAGGTGTTCCATGACACTAGTATTTTTAATGCCCTAAGTAAGGTGGATATACAAAACTCAGATGGAACAGTAACAGACATCTTTTCACTTTCCATGGTGTTTATTAGTATTTTATTTTTTAGAGCAATTTTAGGTTTACAGAAAAATTGAGCAGAAAACTCACACGGAGGTTCCATATTCTCGACACATACACACACACACACACACACACACACACACACACACACA